TGAATTTTCCACCTTACAAGGGAGAGAATGGGAGTTATCCACCTATTATTCAAGGAAAGAAAATGATAGGAAAATTGACTAAACCTCATAAATAATTTCGCACAAGGTTACTCCAATTTTTAAGGACCAAAAAGGGGTTCTATTTATTTGATCAAGTTAAATAGCCTTTTCTGATAATATTTATCTATAATAAGGAAGCTTTTCTAAGAGAAGAGCTAAAGCATTTGTTCCTTTTTATTTAGTCCCAGGAGATAAAATCTGGCAGGCAAACATGTTCTCTATTACACTAGTAAGAAAGGATCATAAAACGTCCTAGCAAGTAGTGATACCATTATTATCGATGAAAATTGTCTTCTGGTCCTCAGGAGAACACAGGTGAGATAGAGCCAAAGCAACACGTCTTTGTACAGCTTTATCTCCTACTCGCATCATGTAAAGCAAATGCTTTAGAACCTAGAACAAAACAATGCATCTAATGAGAGAAGAATAGGGATGGTCAAAATGTTATACCATTAAAGAGGATTCAAGTGGCAATCTAAATTGAAACAACCAAAACTTACTCTTCCATTAATCTTCTCCTCTAACCGTTTCAATGTCTTGGCTACACAGTCCTTCGTTGCCTATAAGCAAATCATAACAGCTTCAAAAATGTTTGCTGAATGTAGCACTTCAAATTGAAAATGACACCAAAGTTTCAACAAAAAAGTACCTGGACAATGAATTCTCCATCTTGTAACTTCTGAACACCTCCCACCTTGATAAAATCTGAGACGTTATCCTACAAAATAGAAAATGTAAGTTACAAATAGCCTAGTATATTCAATTAACAGTGACTGCCAAAGATTAGCATCTAGATTCTAGACAATCCTCAGAATCTGGAAACATAATTCAGGACCGTCAATAAAGTCACCTCATTATCTGCAATTCCGTAGAGAGCAAATGCTGCATTGTGCTGTAGAGATCCATTCTTTGAGTCAAGAAGTTTTAGTAGAGGCGCCAAACCACCATTATATGCAATACCAGCCTGGTTATGTGAGTCCTAAGGGAAAAAGGAATGTCATGATGGAGAGTTCTCACGAATGACCAGTGGTCTATAAACTCAGCACAGACCGAGAGTAAAAATCAAATCACAGAAAGAAAAAATAGACATAATTATCACACATATTGTTTTATGATATTTGCCTTTAAGGCTAATATTAGGCACTTGGGTTTGCTGTGAGTGTGTGGAGCCATAAACAATCTAAACAGAATGGTCACTGTTGATTACTTAATGAGAATACCTACATAAGAAACTTCATAACTTAGGTACAAATTCACAACAGGTAAATGTGCTAGTTTCTAAGCTAGGATCAGACTACAAACTGCCACTGCAACACAGCTAAATAAGTTGATCAGGGCATGCCAATTCATTTATTCATCAGTTACAAAACAGTTGCTTGATATAGAGTGAGAGGGACTTAGAAGGTTCCAAAACATAAATTCAGTCTTAATGCCTTTTATGATATGTACATCAGGATGAATCATGTGCATCTTCCATTGTGATTCCCCATGATATAGTTTGTTAGGTGGAAACAATTTGTATGTCCATTTCCTTTGAATTTGCAGTACACACTTGTACGACAGCAACAAGATTCCTTTGAGTGTAAATATTATTCATAACAAGATAGATGGCTGACCTGGGCCAATCTTCCAAGAGCAAAAGCAGCCATCTCTTTAAGTTGAATATCTTGAGACTGTAGCATCTCAACTAAAGGCCTGACAGCACCTCTCTGTACAATGTGTACCTGCAGATTACAAAGACTCCAAGTCAGAATTTTAGATGCATACTTATTTTACAAGGAAAAAAAACAGATGCACATTTGCATATAAGCTGACAAAATGCTGAGCATGTGCATATTTGTATAACATCACCTTGCAATCTGAATCAGTTGCAGCAAATTGTCCTAACAATAAAGCAGCTTCTCTCTGGCTCTCCGTACAGCATGAACTGTCAGTACATCATGTCAGGTGAAAAGTTTACCAAGTTTTTGATCTCAAATATGCATATAGGATAATTATGTTACAACATACAGACACTTTATACATGTAGAAGAAAATTATCATTGAAAACTTGTTGGTTTCTTATTAAGAGGTTGAAATTTAATGATGGTGAGTTAGATCACAGAACAATGCCACACAACAGGTTAGGTGATGGTATGTTAGACCACAGAACAATGCTTCATAGCTATGCTTCCACTTCTTGATAGTAGAAGGTAAAGGAGAAACTTTCACCTTCGGGGCAGTGCACTCAATTTCAATAAGAATAGGAAATGAATGCATAGTGTGTTTACCCTTGTCCTTCTGATATTCAAGACTGGTATTTCATAATAGTATACCTACATTTCAGTTTTCAGAGGTAAACATATTAGGAAATGTACTATTAGGTTGAGTATCATCATCACATGATGGCACTATATTAGTTCAAGAGTTTGAAAGAGACTTCCCCGAAAACATTCCTGACCATATAAGATATCAAGATTACAATGCAGATGATCAGAACATTGGCTTACATGATCAAAGAGCTTCCTGAGTATAATTTTTTGAAAAATAGAGCCCTATATCTTCAACAAGATAAAATTTAGCAAAACTAAGGAGGAAAGTAATCACTTTAAATAATCACTTAAGTGGCAGCATAACTAATAAACCTAATCATATTCCTAATACAGGGTAAAGAAAAGGGCTTGTTAATAACCTTACGCTTGCAACATTTCGTGTAAAACACAATGTTATGGAAATAGAGGGTGCATTAGGGCAAAGTAATACCTTAATAAGCCAATAACGGGCTGTAAAGCGCCTGCTGCAAGAACCTCCTTCTTTATGTTTGGGGAGGAATGTACCAAATTTCCAATGACACCCACCTAATAGATTGACAAGATAACACTTAATCATGTGTAGTACAAAGAGACCTTGACACTCATCTGACAGAAGAAAGTTAAAAGTAAAATAAGGCGCACCATCTTCATTGTTTGAAATTGAATTATTCACTACAAACCTACAAACTTAAAAATGTGCATTTTTGTGGTCATGAGACATGATTTTATTCAGGGTTCACGTGTATAATTACTGTTTACCAGTTACAACGTATAACAAGTTTAACTAATTTTCAGAATTTGTGAAGCTTTCGTAGTTTTTGTGGTGAAATGTGTGGAACCAATCTGATAGAGATTAGAGACAAATATTTTAGGTTGATGTGCAATTGTATCCAAATACTTAGCAGTCAGTTACATAACTAATCAATCACTAGTCAACAACAAACGACCATAATTATTCTCTACTCTATGCAATTTCCAAACAATATCACATCATAAAAAAGCGACCAAGATAAGAGTATACACATCGATTGTAGAGAACAAAGCCCATTTAAATCATCGATTATAGCCCCCGTAGACTTTCTCTTGAATGATGGCAAACTTTACAATGTCTACTATGAAAGTACATTAATAAGGGAGCTTACCGCCTCATAGTGGATGGCAGCATCCTCTGACCTAAGCATGAGAATTAGGGTAGGAAGAGCATTACACTCCACTATCTGCAAAAGAAGACAGATGAAAACGGACCGTGAGATAAAGTTCTGTTTACAGATAGTGTAATAAGATTATATTTAGGGATTACTCACTTGGTTCTTGTTTTCATCATTTTTAAATGCCAAGGTCCGCAAGGCACCTGCGGCTGCTCTTTGCACCTTCAGATCAATAAATTCAAGCAATTCAACAAGAGGAGGAATCCCACCTTCAATCCTGAATTTAAAGAAAAAGAAAGAAAAAGATATCATGATCGGAAATAATCGTAAAACAATTTAATTTAGGAGACAAATAAGAGAGCTAACAAGACAACCTGACGTAAGTTTTGATGCTGCTGTTCTCATGAGCAAGGTTGGTTATCGCATCAGCTGCTCTTCTTACTACACTAATAACTGCACGAGAGTTGGAACTTTTCTTATGCCTTTTCAAGAGATCAACAAGAAGAGGCAAGGCACCAGCATCAACTATGAGTTGTTGGTGCTCAGGCTGTTCAACAATCAAATATGAGATCAATTCTTCGAGTGACCCAAGAAAAGCATTCAAAAAAATGAAAAAAAAAGCAGCCAAGCATCAGTTCCACTTCCAGCTGCCTAAGATGACTAAACTGAATAATATAAGTCCTAATTTAACGGGGTATTCATCAATGCACAGGCACATGTGCTATTAGCAATTCAATTCTTCTGAGAAACATAATGGACCAATGTTTAGTGACAATTTTGACGAAAGTATCTAAAGAATATAACTCATTCTAAACCTTTAAATTTATTTTTCAACTCAAAAATCCAAAAGAGGATAGAAGAAGCTATACCTTTACCGCAAGAAGACCTAAAGCAAAGGCACTGCCTTTTTCAACTTCATGTTCGAACGGCCTCTCTCCTCCGGCGATCGCCGGAGGCTCTTTCAGGTGCTTCACGAGTGCCGGCACCGCTCCAGCTTCAACAATCACGTTCACGACTTCCTCTGCGAACAAAATCCCTCGATATACTCATCAAATCGGAGGGGGGGGGCATGATATCTTAAGGAGAATCAATTACCGTTCTTGGCGAGCTCAGCCAGCACGTGAGTCGCACGCTTGGCGGCCAACCGATCAGGCTCCCGCCATGAGAATCTCCTCTGCAGGACCTCAACTTGAGTCTTCACCTCCAGATCTAGGGTCTCGGGCGACAGGTGGTGGAGGATCTCGCCTCTGCTCGGTCTCTCTTCGATATCTATAACCATAGCTGCTGACGACGACGCGTCCTCTTCCAGCTTCCTCTTCTGGCCTTTGCGCTGCTTGTCCATCGCCGATTCCTTCTGCTGATGCTGGTGATCTCCCTCCATCAAGCGCAGCTGGAGATGTGAGAGAGAGAGGGAGAGAGAGAGAGAGGATTTGGGGACACAGCCTGAGATTGGTGAAAGGAAAGGGAAAAAGGGTATTTCGGGAATACAAAAAAGCAGGGATTGAGTGGTGAGTGAGCCAGGGGGGTTTCGGTTTTGGCAATAAAAAGCAGTTTTTGGAGGCTATTTAGAATAACCCGCCACCTGTTTATAGAAATTCGAGACATTTGTGGGAAGCTGGAAAATTCGAATTTCGTTTTTTTGCGCCTTGATGAATTTTGTTGGGCTTTTCGGATAAGTAGCAGGCCATTTTTTGTTACTGGGCCGGGTTTGTCGAATCCGAGCTTCGTAACATATGGGCTTAGACCATCTCCAACGCTGCGGCATTTTGAGGCGAAAAGTGAAAATGCCGCTACGTGGGAGCTCCAATCGAGCGGCATTTGTTGCCGCATTTTGACGGGGATGAACAGCGCGACGCTATATTAACTTCATTAAAATAAAACATAAAATACAAACTAAACATGTGACGTTACTTAAGATGGACAAGCAACTCTCAATAATCTGGTAGATCGGGGCCAGAGTGTCCAATATCAATAAAATAATTGCCAAAATTAAAAGCAGACCCTTGTTCTTGTTGATTTCTTTTTTGTATTATTTTAATCTGTTGAGCTCGAACGTACTCACGCACGTTTGGATCAGCAATGGAATTCAAATCTTTCATTATAATTTTCCATTCATCTCTATCTTTTTTCATGGAGCTCAGCTCTCCTTGAATTGTGTGAAAGCTTTGTACGAGTGGGAATCAATTTTTGAAATCAGGTCAGCTTTACACATTGTCCAACGTATACACAGCTCAGCTCTCCTTGAATTGTGTGAAAGCTTTGTACGAGTGGGAATCAATTTTTGAAATCAGGTCAGCTTTACACATTGTCCAACGTATACACAGCTCAGCTCTCCTTGAATTGTGTGAAAGCTTTGTACGAGTGGGAATCAATTTTTGATATCAGGTCAGCTTTACACATTGTCCAACGTATACACAGCTCAGCTCTCCTTGAATTGTGTGAAAGCTTTGTACGAGTGGGAATCAATTTTTGATATCAGGTCAGCTTTACACATTGTCCAACGTATACACAGCTCAGCTCTCCTTGAATTGTGTGAAAGCTTTGTACGAGTGGGAATCAATTTTTGATATCAGGTCAGCTTTACACATTGTCCAACGTATACACAGCTCAGCTCTCCTTGAATTGTGTGAAAGCTTTGTACGAGTGGGAATCAATTTTTGAAATCAGGTCAGCTTTACACATTGTCCAACGTATACACAGCTCAGCTCTCCTTGAATTGTGTGAAAGCTTTGTACGAGTGGGAATCAATTTTTGAAATCAGGTCAGCTTTACACATTGTCCAACGTATACACAGCTCAGCTCTCCTTGAATTGTGTGAAAGCTTTGTACGAGTGGGAATCAATTTTTGAAATCAGGTCAGCTTTACACATTGTCCAACGTATACACAGCTCAGCTCTCCTTGAATTGTGTGAAAGCTTTGTACGAGTGGGAATCAATTTTTGATATCAGGTCAGCTTTACACATTGTCCAACGTATACACAGCTCAGCTCTCCTTGAATTGTGTGAAAGCTTTGTACGAGTGGGAATCAATTTTTGAAATCAGGTCAGCTTTACACATTGTCCAACGTATACACAGCTCAGCTCTCCTTGAATTGTGTGAAAGCTTTGTACGAGTGGGAATCAATTTTTGAAATCAGGTCAGCTTTACACATTGTCCAACGTATACACAGCTCAGCTCTCCTTGAATTGTGTGAAAGCTTTGTACGAGTGGGAATCAATTTTTGAAATCAGGTCAGCTTTACACATTGTCCAACGTATACACAGCTCAGCTCTCCTTGAATTGTGTGAAAGCTTTGTACGAGTGGGAATCAATTTTTGAAATCAGGTCAGCTTTACACATTGTCCAACGTATACACAGCTCAGCTCTCCTTGAATTGTGTGAAAGCTTTGTACGAGTGGGAATCAATTTTTGAAATCTGTCAGCTTTACACATTGTCCAACGTATACACAGCTCAGCTCTCCTTGAATTGTGTGAAAGCTTTGTACGAGTGGGAATCAATTTTTAAAATCAGGTCAGCTTTACACATTATCCAACGTATACAGCTAAAAGCAAATTTGAATTTTATGACAAATTGATAACAGCTGGAAAGCATTTCCTAAAACCAGCTCAACTTTACACATTGTTCAATGTATACAACTAAGCAAAGTTTTATAAATAGCATACTAGATTAGGTACATCCACACAATTACTCGTTGTTGTGTTAAAATTATTATTCTCCATTTCTGCATACTTCAGTCATTCTTTTCTTACTTCAAAAATGAATTTCGATGTTGGAGGTCCATCATACTTATCATCATCTTCATCTTCGGATGATGATAATTTTCTGTCCAATATCATTGCAGAGATTGATGAAACCGAAGAAGTAATTTGTGAGTACATCAACAACAACATGATCCTCGTTAACAATTTACGTCAACACAACTACCAACCGATCCATGGTGGCTCGATTCCCGGTCATGCAGTGATCAACCGCGATCGAGAAAATGCGCATCAGAATTTGGTCATAGATTACTTTGCCGATAATCCACGTTTTGGAGAAGATATGTTTCGTCGTCGATATCGGATGTCAAGAAGTTTGTTCCTTCGTATTGTTGATGCAGTGAAAGATCATGACTATTACTTCCAACAACGAAGTGATGGACTTGGTAGAATGGGATTATCACCGTTACAGAAAGTAACAGCTGTTTTTCGCATGTTGGCATACGGTCTACCAGCTGATGCTACGGACGAATACGTTAAAATAGGTGAGTCAACAGCAATTGAAAGTATGACAAAATTTTGTCGTGCTATGGTGGAAATATTCGCAGAGCGGTATCTACGAACACCTAACGCTAACGATATTGCTAGGCTACTCTATATTGGAAAAAAACGTGGTTTTCCAGGAATGTTAGGAAGTCTTGATTGTATGCATTGGAAATGGAAAAATTGTCCAACAGCATGGTCTGGGCAATACACAGGACGTAGTGGGTCACCAACTATTATCCTCGAAGCTGTGGCAGATTATGATCTTTGGATATGGCACGCATATTTTGGTATGCCAGGCACCAATAATGATATCAATGTGCTGGAGTCATCTAATCTTTTCTCTAACCTAGCTCAAGGTATTGCTCCTCCCGCTCACTATGTTATTCAAGGAAAAGAGTATAATATGGGTTATTATTTAGCTGATGGTATATATCCGAAATGGGCTACTATTGTACAAACAATCCAACAGCCACAAGGTAGGAAGAAAAAATATTTTGCCATGAAACAGGAAGCATGTAGAAAAGATGTAGAACGTGCGTTCGGAGTTCTCCAATCACGATTTGCAATCGTGGCAGGATCAGCACGTTTTTGGAAAAAACATGTATTACATGACATAATGACTGCATGCATTATTATGCATAATATGATAATCGAGGATGAACGTGATCTTTATGCACCAATTCAAGAAGTGAGGGAAGCACCAACACCAGAAGTTGATATGGTAGCAGATGAAACTACAAGATTTACTCAATTTATTGCACGTTACGGAAAAATCAAGGATAAAGATGCCCATATTGCGCTTCGTAATGCATTGATAGATCATCTATGGGAGGAATACACTAATTCAGATAGTTAAGAGCATACTAAATTTGTAATTTTTACGTTGTTGTTAATGTTTAATTATGTTCTTACATTTTATTTTCTGTTGTGTTCTTGAATGTAATATTTTGGCAATATTAATAATAGGTATATAATATTTTATTGTTTTATTAGTTTAATTTTTTAAATAATAAATCATTTTGTTTGGAAAATATGTGAAAAAATAAAATTTGATATGTGAGGTTAATTGTTGAAATAGTTAAAAATATAGGGGATAAAAAATAATCATATAAAAGTAGATAAAAAGAAAGATACTGAGAATATTCCTTTTTGGTGCAAAAAATGGTGCAATGGGTTGGAGATGAATTACTGTTAGATGTGACTTTTGCACCATTTTGGTGCAAAATTTGCACCATTTTGAGACAAAGGGTTGGAGATGCCCTTAGGAGCTTCGTAAACAAAATGCAATTGCGTGACAGCCAGGCTCAAATAAACCCTCTCTGGTTAGCCGGCAAATTGACAAGGCTATAGACGACACTTAAATACCCTATAGTTTTCCCCATTTTGCACTTATATACCCACTTGTTTCTAAAAGAAGAGAATTATCCCCCCAGTTTTTTTCCCCATGAATATTTATAAGCTAGTTTGGCAACATTTTGACTCTTAATTTTTTTTTTATTTACTATTAAAATTATGGTAATTCTATTTCAAGATATAATTGGAGTAGTTTTAAATTTTGATTAGGGTATGTTTAACAACAAATTCATCAAGCAATAAGTATTAAATTGCTATAAAATTGGTTTATAAGTGCCAGGGTCGTGTCGGAAAAAAGTTGGAGGAAAATTCATCAAACAAGGGTCATTAAGAGCAAGCCAATCATTAAAGCACACATCACTTTCCCACACAAATTTTTTTAGGAAAATGATAGGGGCACACCCCCAACCACACCCTCTCTCTCATTTGCTCTAGTACATCCGGCCTCACATGGGATTTTAAATTTTAAAATCTCATGTGAGACTCGGTATACTGTAGCAAATAAGAAAGAAGGTGTAGTTAGTATTGTGGCGGGAGAGTTGGGGATGTGTCCCTAGTGCCACTTTTTTAATGTAATAATAATAATAATAAAAAACTCCCTCGCTCTTCGTCATGCTTCACTCTCAGCCCGCTCCCGGTAGTATTTCATTCCCTTCCAAGCGGTGAAAGTCGAATCAAATAATACGTATATCCCTCCTTTCTTTGTTTATTATTTTCCCCTTATTGACATCTTCTCCTCTTTAATTTCTTCCCGACTCCATTTCAAAAGATTTCCCAACCGCAACACCACCGTCTACCTGCTCGCCCTCTCTCTTTTGAATTGGCAACCCCCCATTCACTTCTCAATTTAGCTCGATCGCCGTCGGATTCCAATGCCTCCCCCTTCCTCCTTCCTCCTGTTGCTATCTCTGTCCCTCCTCGTCGCCACCGAAGCCCTCTCTGACCCCCCCAGAGGCCTCCTCTTGAACTGCGGGTCCAACTCCGCCCTCGAATTCAACAACCTGACCTACATCCCCGACCACCCTTTCGTCTCCGTCGGCGTCCCTGGATCCTCCGCCTCCGCCGCCGCCGGCAGCCTCCTCCCCCTCCTCTCCACCCTCCGGTCCTTCCCCTTCGACCCCCGCGATCCAAAACCCTAAAGTCCTGCTACTCCATCCCCACCTTCCGCGGGCCCGCTACCTCGTCCGCACACCTACTTCTACCACGGCGGCGGCGGCGCCGTCCTGCGGCGCCGCCGTGGTTCGACCAGATCGTGACGGACCTTCTGGACGGTGTGTAATACGACGAGGGACTATGTGAGCGGGATGGCTTCGAGCTATGAGGGGGTGTTCTTGGCTAGGGGGAAGATTATGAGCGTTTGTGTTGCTGGGAATTACTATACCGAGTCCGACCCGTTCATTAATGCGCTGGAGATGATTATATTGGAGGACTCGGTGTATAATTCGACTGATTTTACTAAGAATGCTCTGGGCCTCGTGGCGAGGAGTAGATTCGGACACGACGGGCCAATTACAAGGTACTGATGACAAGAAATCTTCCTCCCTTTTCGCTGACTGTTTGAGCGGAACGCACATAGTAATATCTAGAGAGGATTAGCAACTGAAAACTATCCTAGATTCCTAGTGATCTCTCGCTTGCTAAGTTTTAGTCATGCCAGCAGCCCTTGACTATCTAATCAAGAAGAAGAAATTTAACCTCAAGTCTCATCATGTGCAGCTCGGCCTCTACTAGTTGGTTTAGCCCATATCTTGTTGCATTGATTGGCTTGCTTGAAATACGTTGTGGTGTAATCGATATGGATCATTACCATACTTCAAACCTCAATACGTATATTGTTGTCTAGGATCTACCAGGACATCTTGGTAGTTGAATTGCTAATTTCTAAACACCCGTATTTTTCTTCAAGCAATCGGCTTATAGCATGTGTGCGCGGCTTGCGGATTTTGTCTGTCAAACTGGCGGTGTCCATAATAAGCTCGTCAGTTACACAGTTCTCCCCAGGTTTATATACCAACTGTCAAACTTGAAACTAGCTCCCATATTCCTATGGTTTTCAACCTATGTGCCTATTGCCGGAGCCATGCTGCTCTATCTAACTTGTACAAAGGTACGTTCCGGTTACTGGGAAAATTTTCAGTTTCAGAATTCTGTATGCCATTGTTTCCTTAATTAGTTTCATCTATTTCAACTCCGTTTAGCTATCCATTAATGTGGTCGTTGTTAAATGCAAAGATGCCATCCATCAAGGTCCTTTACCTTTTAAATATGTTGGACTTTGTTGTGACTTTTAAGCATCTGTAACCTTTTGCCTTGTATATTTGTATCTGATGGAATGCTTTCACATTTCTGGAGAAATAGGTACCCAGATGACAGATTCAATAGATATTGGCAACCATTTATTGGCGATGCTCGGGCAACAAGTGGAACTAAAGACATTTCAGCTGCAGGTTTTTGGAACCTCCCACCAACAAATGTTTTTAGTACTGCCCTGACAACTGAACAAGATGGTCCCATGGAATTGCAATGGCCTCCACTGTTTCTTCCAGACTCTAGCTACTACATTGCTCTTTACTTTGCAGATCAATCATTTCAGGCCACCAGAGCACTCGATATCTTTATAAATGACTATAGTTTCTACGATAATTTGAAGGTTACATCTTCTGGGCTTGCTGTCTTTGCGACCCAATGGAATCTTTCTGGTCTTACAAAGATTACTCTCTCTCCTTTATCTTCTATGCCTCCTATAATCAACGCAGGGGAGATTTTTGGTGTTATTCCTCTTGGAGGAATAACTCTTACACGTGATGGTACGTCTGTCTGCCTACGTATTGTGTACACCAGAGTTGAATTGCATTTATTGACAATATTCTTTTCATTTATCTCCATAGTAATTGCGTTAGATAGAATAAAGAAAAGCATTCAAAACCCACCAGTTGATTGGAATGGGGATCCTTGTTTGCCTCACGGATACACATGGTCTGGAATTACATGCTCTGGTGGGTCACGTATCCGTGTGATCTCTCTGTGAGTTAAACTTCATATCTGACTTTGTTTTATTTTGATTTTTTTTCTGTTTGTCGCCATTATATGTATATTGGTTTTTCTCTTATTCCAGGAATCTGTCTGGCATGGGTCTGTTGGGATCTCTCTCACCTAATATTGCAAATCTGACAGCCCTAACTGCTCTGTAAGTTTCTGAACTGCGTTATTGTAGAAACATTAGCGACTTCAAGAACAATAACTCTAGCTGAGAACCTTTTCATGCGCAGCTCCTTTGCAAATAATAACTTCTCAGGACCTATTCCAGAGCTCGGCCGATTACAAATGCTTGAGAAGCTGTAAGCAATACTTTTAATTTAATTAGATAAATAATTAATTTGTTTTCATCACTTTTGCGGCCGTTGACTTGAAAAATGCCATCTCCATTTGCAGGCATTTGCAGAATAATCAGTTGACTGGAGGCATTCCACAATCGCTTGGAAATATCAAGAGTCTACACGAGCTGTAAGTTGTTATTATATGTTTTTTACCACCATAAACATGATGCCTTTTACACTTCCTCTCATAACTAGAGGTTCACCATATGCACGAGTTACTATTCCATAATACTTGAATTGCTTAGAATCATATTTCTTTCAATCTTCCCAGTTTTTCTCCTGACGAGCTTTTGTGAACTTCTTTATTTCTTACAGTCTTTAGGATATCCTAGTGTCTACAGTGCAGATATCCTGCCACATTCCTGGAAGCTATAAATTTCTGTGAAATTTGGCTCATTTTTTATTATTATAGAACATACCCTTTTCCTGTATTGCCATGGAAACAAGCAACACAATTCTTTAACCTTACACACATAATAACCAGTGATATGTTACTTATTATCATATATTTCATTAGTTGCACCGGTATATGTTGTGCGCGGCGCGGAAGCGGGACAACCAAACGGGCGTTCTTCGAGAACCAAATCAAACAAACGTCGAGATAAAGGCCAAACAAATCAACACAACGACACAAATCCGAACACAATAGTTTTACGTGGTTTGGACAACTGCCTACGTCCACGGGGCAAGAAGGGGATTGGGTTTTCACTAATAGAGAAGAAGAGTACAAACTGAGATTACAAAACGCTCAAACCAATCAATTAATCTCACCAACAAATCTCTTAATCTCTCCAAATAAACCTTCAAACAATTGCTAAGAAAAACTCTCATTTTTCTGCGCTCCAAATATCTCCAAACCAATCTCCAATCCAAGCTAAAGAAACCCTAATTCGTATGTTGGTATTTATAGCAAACACCAAATCCAAACTGAACAGGAAACTCAAACTGGGCCCTGACCCGATTGGCGGTTCACAGTTGATCGCCCAAAGCTCGCGGTCGACCGCGTTCCAGCGACAGAGACCAAAAAGTCCTACAGGGTCTCGCGGTCGATCGCGACGGTCTACCGCGCTAAGTCCAGGCACAAACCCTGGATCCGTGCACGATCGCGGTCGACCGGTCTTGCGCCGCGGTCTACCGCGCAGCACCCAAACAGACTTCTGCGCTATCCAAAACCTGTTGTGATCAAATCTCTTGCCGATTCTATAATTCTCCACATTGACGAAGTTTCTTTCAAAAATTGAGCTGACACCGACCAAACCAAATGCCTCACTTGTTGCGTCCCGTACGAAGTTGTAGGCTGTCTAAAAATCACAATAGATAGTTGATCCCCCATCAAACACCGATGATGGAAGTTACAATCTGACGACTTCCAGAAGGCTACAATTTGAGGACTTTCACTTAGAAGGCTACAATTTGACGACCTTCACGACAACTAATGAAAGCCCCAATGCAACAGCCTTCACAATCAACATCGGGAGTTACAATCTGATGACTCTCGTATTTTCAAGGAGCCAAGACGAAGATTACAAGAGGACGATCTGTGCAAAGCTCTAGCAAAAGAGACTACAAATTGACGGTCTCTTCATATTAGAATGCAGATATCTCTCAAACCGTAAGGAATTTGGCAAAACGGAGGAAGCGAACCGAAGCCTTTGGCACGGTTCGGATGGCCCCGTCTCGTCGAGATAGCCGATTTTCATATATAATTCGTCCAATTCCGACTTACGGTTTCAGCCTAAAACGTCCCAACTGTGCGTTTTCAGGCGAACTGTGCGTTTTCAGGCGAACTGTGCGTTTTTAGGCCAACTGTTCGTTTTCAGGCCAACTGTGCGTTTACAGGCCCAACTGTGCGTTTACAGGCCCAACTGTGCGTTTACAGGCGCCAACTGTGCGTTTTCAGGCCAACTGTGCGTTTACAGGCCCAACTGTGCGTTTTCAAGTCCAGAAACACACAGTTCGGGCCCAGAACGCTGTTTTCAGCGTTTTGACTCGTTCAAAACACTAACAGTACGGTTTCAAAACCGTCTTCCCCACGATGTAGGGAGCTGTTTAAGAGGGGGCAGTTACACCCCACTCAGCCCATTGAGGAGCTAATTAAGGGGGGAGTTACCACCCCTAAATCCCATATAAATAGTGGGAAACTCAACTGAGTTCGGGCTGGGCTCGGAGATCCTTTTCTTTGGGGAGAGAAGGCTTTTGGCTTTTTGGCTCTCGGCTTGAATTGTTGGAGTTTTGGGAGACCAGCAACAGGAACTTCTTCCTTGGCTTATTAACCGAACTTTCGATTCAAATCAACTCTTTTTCAAGAGTTAAAACTCGTTCAGAGTTATCAACTCGATCAGAGTTCAAAACTTGCTCTGCAAGTTCTTCTAAAACTCGTCAGAGTTATCAACTCGATCAGAGTTCAAAACTTGCTCTGCAAGTTCTCCTAAAACTCGTTCAGAGTTATCAACTCGTTAAGAGTTATTTTCAAACTTGCCACGCAAGTTCTCCACAGCGTCAAATCGTGAGGAGAAAATCACGTTCCAGTGAACCAAGACGTTCGGATCGTCAACGAGAAGCAAACTCTCAAATCGTGAGGAGAAAATCACGTTCCAGTGAACCAAGACGTTCGGATCGTCAACGAGAAGCAAACTCCACACAAGCATTCGAGGGAGGCATCTCATCGCCACCGTGAAGAACCCAGAATTAAACAAAGAGGAGAATCAAATTCATTCCTCTTTTGTAATCGGAATCCAAATTGTAATTGATTTTGAGAGGAATACAAGTCAAATTTTTCTTTTATTATTTCTTTTACTGCAAATTTCCAACAAACAGAAGTGAAACGATTCACGACAACAGACTCAATCCATAACAAGTCAAGACCCAAATGAGAGTGCGAACACTCACCCACACGTCGGTATCTACTCATCAAATCGGCTGCATCAAAACTGACTGCCTACGTATCCTCTTGCCTAAGGAATCAAACATTCACGTAGTTCACTCAAACGGCCTCCAAAGACCCTCAAACAAATAGAAAAGTCTGCAACTCTTCATCAATATCATCTGCATCCAAATCCAAATGATCATCAATCTGTGTCACCTCAGCTAAAATCCCAAACGATGCAGTATGATCTGAAGTATGTGGAGTAAACTCCACCCAACATGGAGTAACATCACCCTCCACCTGCTACGATATCTAACTGATCTGATCAACACTCTTCACCTGCCGAGAGTCCAATATGACATACCTGCTTAGAACGAAATCAGAAGCTCCCAACCGATAATCAAATAAGCCTCTGAATCCCAAACGCGTAATCAGATCAAATCTCACATCCTCGATGTGATCAAATATTGGGTAACCAAATATCCGACGCCAACCAAATTCTGAAGTAGCTCCACCCGATCCAAAATCTCCAAACGCAGCAGTCGGTAACCTATGCATAAGATGACCCAAACATGTCGAAGCCCGAATACTAAATCAAATGTTCGACAACCAACGCCGATCCCCCTCTAGAAAGGAACAACCAATCAAAAATATCATCTTATCTCGTCGCCACAATGTTTCCTCTCCAATGAAGTGTCTCAAACTGCCATGAGCTCGGCACAAATGCAGAAATAAGTCCCTCTTGTATCTCCCGCTAAAATCAGAATGAAGTACCTTCACCTTCTGCCAATACACTTCTTCAACTGTTGTTGACTATTAGGACTTCAAAACCAACGGGACTTTGTTGCAACCCACAATTACCTAGTATAATCCCCAACATAGGAAACCAAAATATCAATTTACCTTCCAATGATGCCTCCTAAATGCCTGAATGAACACCAAATAAAAGACCCCTCAATCATCAAATAGAAGTGCCAAACTCCACCTCGGTCTCCTTGCTCATACCAACGTGCTCAAAGGACTTCAATATGCAGGTCGATGGCACTTCTTAATAATCCAATGTACCGTATCAATAAACAAATAACTCAGCCTGAAATCCTTCTATCTCGGCCAACTATCTCAAAACACCAACAAATGAAGAATAGATCCAAACTGATAAAGGAGAGAATTTTACCTCCAATTGAAACCCTAATAAGAGTCTCCAAACGATCTCACCCCGCACGACGGCAACGAGATCCACAAATAGGAAAAATCCCACCTTTATCTCCAAACAAAGCCCTCGAAGAGCCTCCAAAGCGATCTACTCCTCCAAATAGCCCAAGCGCCAACAAACCAATGCGGAACAAACGAAGAATAGATCCAAACTGAAAAAGATAGAGTTTTTACCAAAAAAATCTCACCTTTCTCACCAAACGAAGTCCTAGCCGAACTTTCAAATTGATCTACTCCTCCAACCAAGACAAAACCTTAGATCTGAAATCTGGAACTCTGATACCAATTGTTATGCGCGGCGCGAAAGCGGGACAACCAAACGGGCGTGCTTCAAGAACCAAATCAAACAAACGTCGAGATAAAAGCCAAACAAATCAAAACAACGACACAAATCTAAACACAATAGTTTTACGTGGTTCGGCAAATTACCTACGTTCACGGGGCAAGAAGGGGATTGAGTTTTCACTAATAGAGAAGAAGAGTACAATCTGAGATTACAAAACGCTCAAACCAATCAACTAATCTCACCAACAAATCTCTTAATCTCTCCAAATAAACCCCCAAACAATTGCTCAGAAAAACTCTCCTTTTTCTGCGCTCCCGGTCGACCGGCCTTGCGCCGCGGTCGACCGGCCTTGCGCCGCGGTCGACCGGCCTTGCGCCGCGGTCGACCGCGCAGCACCCAAACAGACTCCTGCGCTATCCAAAACCTGTTCTGATCAAATCTCTTGCCAATTCTACAGTATACCTATCGGATTCAAATACAGTATCTAAAGTTAAAGTGAAACCGTTGTTTCATGGACTTATCGTCCAAGTGTTTTCCAAAAGTTGTTATTTTTTTTACTTCTCGTTAGTATCTTCAATCTTATGAACAACCATATAATAAGCTTTCTCTCTCTCTCTCTCACAAAAGAAAGGAGTGCTAATAAGCATGTTCCTCTCTCTCTCTCTCTCAAAAGAAAGGAGTGCTAATAAGCATGTTCCTGGGAAACAATTGGCAGTCAACTTTATCGTAATATAATAGTACTTGATTAGAGATATTTTTGTCCAACTTTTTCATATGTATGGTTGTTCTTGTGAATTTGTAATCGGTTTATGTTGTTACATATGTTATAGGGGCTTAATTCATCAATGCCAATATTTTGACTTACGCACTAATTTTGAATCCGCTGTGTTTTCTGTTCTACATTCCAGTTTCCTGGAGAACAATAATCTTATTGGCAAAATTCCCACAAACTTGTCAGGAAAATCTGGACTAACCCTCAGGTGAGAGGAAACACTCAATATCCTCACTTGTTTTTCCTTTTATTAGTTCTTTTCTGTTACTTGACTTCAATGTTTTCTTGCTGAGCTTGGTAGGCTGTTACCTGGGAATAACTTTTCTTAGTCGTCTCCAGTCTTTGTTGGTTAGTTTCATTTCTTCCTCGATGGTGAAGAGCACCATCTGGTTACTATCTTCTCGACTTTGGCTTTATATGTTAGCTGAAGTGCACTCAATAGAAGGATTATCATCTTTCACTCGCTGGATAATTATTGAGATGTTAAGCAAGACTTGCAGATAAAAGCGGCTTACATAAAATAGCTCTGGAATATATAGGTATCATGTTAAGTTTATTGTTTAGGCAGGAGCTATAATTGCTCTTAGCATCATAAGAAAGAATAAAATCTCTCCTATATTCAAATTGTATAAATAGACTCGATCAGAGCTTGGAGGTCAAACTGCATATTGTGTTTGAAAATAGATGTCTGTTGTACAAATGTTTTGGTAAATGTACACATTTTCATGAATCAATATAGTTTCCTTTTTGCAGATCCATTACACTTCACCTTTAACTGTTCCACCTCCAGAGTTAATCACTTTCTCAAATATGTTGCTTGAAGATTCCAAATTTGACCCAACTCAAAACTGGTGACAGAAGGAAAATATAAGTGGGTAATTTTATGTATTTCTTTTTTGGAGAGGTGGTATTTACTGTACGCACAAGATGTCAATAGCATAAAACTGTAATCTTGAACCTATGGTGGACATTGGTACTAGAGCAACTTCCAATTATTAAAAGCAGCTTTTACAAAAATGACACCAATGCGTGTTAAGAGTCCCAAATACCAGTGCGCGTGAGTCTAGATTTCGATCCATAAACAGGAGCTGAACTTGCGGAGGATGTTAGAGACTATATACGATAGCGCACAAAGGCGTAAATCCAATACGGGGATATCAGAGAATTGTAGAGAGTGAAATAGCATTAGAAGTAACCTGTACTCATTTTCGTTAGTTTTCCTTTCACGTAAGCACACAACAAATATCAAAAACTACATCAACTCAACACAACCTCGCTTCGTTAAGTAAATAATAATAATAATAAAAATAATCACAGAGCACGCTCATCACTCACTCAACAGGAACCATAATCTCATTAGTCCTAAGCGGAGGCAGAGTCCATGGCGGATTGTACCTCGCCAGCAAAAACTCGCCCACAACCTTGAACCCATCCCTCTCCAAACTCGTCTTCAACCTCTCCGCCCTCTCCTTCACCTCTCCCTCCGCGGCTCTCCCGCTAAACCGCGCCACCCCGTACTTCCTCTCCCCCTCCTCCTTTATAACAACCCTCTCATCCCTCGGCCTCGGCGCCTCCTCCGCCTTCCTGTACTTCGCCGGAAGCAAAAACCGCATCGTCGTCGTCCCTCCACCGCTCGTCATCACCGGAGCGGTCATGGCGATCTTCTCGCTCTCGCTGGTGATGACCGGAGCGGTCATGGCGATCTTTTCGGCGGGCTTGGAGTTCTGGGCCTCGCCGAGGGCGCCGATGTAGTTGGCGAGGATGACGAATCCGCCGTCGCGGTTGTTGTTGAGCTGGGCCGGGTCGTAGGTCACTTGGGCCGCGACGCAGGGAGGGTACTTTCGGATCTCGTAGTCCGGGGATTTGTGGAGGAGCTCGTAGTTTGGGGTTTCCACGGTGATCTTGCCCAAGATTAGGCCCATGCCTTGAGGTCGTTAATTAATTAGAATCTGGTGGGAATTGATTAGAGAGAGAGAGAGGAAGATGAGAGTAATTAATATATATGTAATTTGATGGTTTCGGCAGTTGCTTGGTGACCAAGTTTGTTGTCTGTGGTGCGAATTGGAGGATCGTGGATAATCTTGGGTCCATATATAAAAAACAAGAGAGGATTATAATTATCAGAAGTGCAGTGAGGGGGCAAAAACAAACAAATAAAAAAGGATTAATTACGTCCGAGCATCGTGTGGTATGACGTAATTGCACGGGACACTCTAGGGTCAGTGTATCTACACGGATCACCCTAGATTATTACCGAGATTCACACGGATAACTTTAGTGAAAACAATCTTTATTACAGTAATCTTAGAGTTGTTTGTGGAAAATTTCCTCAATGATCCAAAATATGGGACCAACAGGAGGACAAGTGAGTTCCCCCCTATTGTATAATGAGTTGGTCATCATTATTATGTAATAAGAGAGGGACAACTCACATGTGCCATTGTTGGTCCCATATTTTTTTGGGTCCCTGTAAGCTCTATAAATTTAGAGGTGTGTATGCAATTACACGATACAACATGTAATTAATCCAAAGTGAGGACAAGAATCTCTGAGCTCCTCTACTTGTTCAGTGAATAACGGGATGAAACTAGGACAAATTTTCAAAACAACCTTGTTTACAATAATAATCGCAAAAAAAATACCCATTTCCAACTTATTTTCAGAAACCGATCTGGTTTCAGCCTCAGCTTTGAAATCAGGTCGGTTTCCGAAGAAAAAAAATTCAAAACTTTACGGGAGTTGGAAATGGTTCTTTTTTGGGGATTAAAAGTCTAAATAGAACTGTTTTGAAAATTTGTCCGATGAAACTAATTTGGGGGCCAGTAAGAACCTTCTTCACTCTGGGCCCGGCCCCTGAAGGTTGCTATCTTACTGTTCTTTTGTCCTGTTATGGTCTTTTATAAAACCATTGGGCCCATTGGATGCCATCTCATTGCGGGCCCATTATTCAAGCACGCGCTCGTCGCAAATCGTAACCGAACTACATCGGCAGGGGAAAAATTCCGTTGACGAGTCGAATGAGAAGAGGGACATGGGTCGTTGACGACGGGAGGAAACTAAACTAAACTCCACTATCGTCCTCCTCCTCCTACAAATAATAGTCGTCTGCGGGCATTAATTAGGGCTAGGGTTAGGGCACCGTCATGGGGGTTCAAGGTCTATGGGAACTCCTCGCCCCCGTCGGCCGCCGCGTCTCCGTCGAAACCCTCGCCGGAAAAAAACTGGCCATAGATGCGAGCATATGGATGGTTCAGTTCATGAAGGCGATGAGAGACGAGAGAGGGGAGATGCTGAGGAACGCTCACGTCCTCGGCTTCTTCCGTCGAATCTGCAAGCTTCTCTTTCTCCGAACTAAGCCCGTCTTCGTCTTCGACGGCGGCACCCCCGCCCTCAAGCGCAGAACCATCGCATCTCGGAGGCGGCATCGTGAGAATGCCCAAGCCAAGATCAGAAAGACCGCCGAGAAGCTTCTCCTCAATCATGTTCGTGCTCGGCCCTTCCTTTCTACTAAATCTGTAAATTGTAATTTATTTGGACTTACTGGCACTTCAGTACCCCTAAATTCACCGTTTTTAACTTTTATCTTGAACTCCTATTTTGACAGTTTCACACCCGGAGTTTTTAGGTTGACGCTACTTTGACAAATTGATACCTCAAAGCCATAATTTTGTTCCTCATTCCACCCCAAACTCAAAAAAGCTAGAATTGGAACGAGAATTTGTTTCTCATTTGCTTTTCTGTGTTGATATTCTTCAACATGTTTAATGTCGACTTTTCGCCGGTATCAACTTTTGGGACATCGAAGTGCAAATAACCCTCTTTTATTGCATTTCTATCTTTAATGTTGTTTCTTGCAGCTTAAAGCTAAAAGGCTTGAGGAATTAGCCCAAGAGATGAGGAAAACCAAAGATGAGAAGTCTGATGCAAAGGGGAAACAGGTCGTCACTGATGAGAATCAGGGAGATAATCAAGAGCCTGATAAGAAAAGTATCAAGGCGCTCACTCAAGAAGCTTTGGATGAGATGTCTGTACTTTCTCTTTGAATTATTGTCGTTTTCTAAAACACATAGTTATGTAACAACTCTTTTCAGGGCTATGGATCTTATGTATACTTTATTAACTATTGGGTTACCCGGTTTTTCCCAGGTTGGCGGCATCACTTGCTGCGGAAGAAGAGGAGGTTTTTAATGCCAAAAAGACTACATCTGCTGGAAATGTTCAACAAGAAGGGGAGGAAGAAGAAGATGAAGATGAGGAGATGATTTTTGTAAGTTCTCAAATTTTGTTATAACTTATAAGACTTAACTTACCTGTTTAGTGCTTGATAATTAGAGACCTTATTACTAAATGAAAGGTTCATATTTCTTGACATGTTTATTGGCTATCATTATGCAGTTGGTATCTGTTGTATTTTGGAAAAGTTAGGGTTAGTCTTCTCTCATAGAGAGATACCCCTTTTTATATAATAGCACTCTTACAAATAGGTCCTTACAATATTGACTAATTACTATCTAAATAACTCAACACTCCCCCTCAAGATGGGCGATAGATATCAATCATCCCCATCTTGTTACAAAAGATATCATATTCTCTAGAACCTAATCCTTTTGTTAAACAATCAGCTAACTGCTCTTCTGATTTCACATAGCTCAAAGTCAGAACTCCTCTATTCAGTTGCTCCTTGATAAAGAACCGATCAATCTCTACATGTTTGGTGCGATCATGCTGAACTGAATTGTTTGCAATATTAATCGCCGATTTGTTGTCACACCAAAGTTGTAAGGAGTCTCTTCTAAACAAGCGCAGCTCAGATAATATGTTTTTGACCCACATCAACTCGCACAGACCAACTGTCATAGTCCTGTACTCCGCCTCAGCTGTAGATCTAGCCACCACATCTTGCTTCTTGCTACGCCAAGATACGAGATTGCCTCCAACAAATACACAGTAGCCTGTAGTTGACCTACGATCATCCATACAACCCGCCCAATCAGCATCACAGTAGCCTTCAATTCTCAGATGTCCAAAACTTCTGAACCATAACCCCTTTCCTGGACTTCCCTTAATATATCTAAGAATTCTGCGAACTGCCTCCATATGCTGTTCTCTGGGATCATGCATATATCTACTCACCACACTTACGGCATGAGTAATATCAGGTCTCGTATGGCATAAATATATAAGTCGTCCAACTAATCTTTGATATTGCTCTTTACTCACCGGGTCACCACCCTCGACACACATCTTATGATTCTGCTCGATGGGAGTAGATGCAACTCTGCAACCCAACATTCCTGTCTCTGAGAGAAGATCCAGAGCATACTTCCGCTGAGAAAACACTATACCCTTTCGCGACCTTGCAATTTCAATTCCGAGGAAGTACTTCAACTGCCCCAGATCTTTAACTTAAAATTCCTCTCCCAATTTCTTCTTCAACCGTAGGATTTCCTCAGCATCATCTCCGGTGATTACAATATCATCAACATAGACCGTCAGGATAGTGATACGAGTTTTGGAGTGCCTGTAAAACACAGTATGATCTCCATTGCACTGCCTGTACCCCATACCACAGACTGCCAACCTGAATCTGTCAAACCATGCTCTCGGAGACTGTTTTAACCCATACAAAGACTTCTTCAACTTGCACACCTTCCCAGCTACTTGAGAAGTAGCGAAGCCTGGTGGAATCTCCATATACACCTCCTCCTGGAGATCTCCATGTAAAAAGGCATTCTTGACATCTAGCTGATGTAGTGGCCAATTAAAGTTGGCAGCACATGACACCAACACTCTAACAGTGCTCATCTTCGCTACTGGAGCAAATGTCTCGTCATAGTCAATGCCATATGTTTGACTGTAGCCTTTAGCAACCAGTCTGGCTTTGTATCTGTCGATCTTGTCCTCTGGAGTTTGCTTAACCGTATACACCCACTTACATCCAACAACACGCTTCCCAGCTGGCAGAGGTACCAACTCTCATGTATCATTCTTCTTCAAAGCCCGAAGTTCCTCTTGCATGGCACTCAACCATCTAGGGTCTTGCTTAGCGACCTGCCAGTTGTTAGGTACAGGCACTGAATGCAGTGATGCAATGAATGACTTATATGCAGGTGGAATGGATGCATATGAAATGTAATTCGTAATGTCAGTATCCCAACTACCAAACTTAGCTGGAGGTTTTCCAGCATTGACTCTGGAGGTTCTACGGGGCAAGATGGGGGTATTAGAAGTATCAGGGAAGAATTCGTTACCTATCGATTCAGGTGAAGAAGTCACTGGAGAGGAGGGACTTGGGACATCAATATTTGTGGGCACTGGCACTGGCACAGGAGACGGCTCATGTTGCTGTTTCTGTCTCCTCGTGTATACTCTCAGCTCCCCCTGACATTGACTGTCACCTCCTGAGTCACCACCACTACTCAGCGGTGTACCATCACTACTCGATGGCTCAAGAGGACATGGAATCATCCCAACCACGACGTCATTCTCATTCTCATTTTCATTCTCATTCTCCCCCTCTCTACTAGCATCAGTAGAGCCATCTCCAAACAAGGAACTTAACTCTGTTTTCTCCCCATAAAAAGGTTCAAACTCTCGAAAAGTCACATCCATACTAACAAACATTGACTTGATGAGTAGCCAACAAAGATACATTTAACTGCTTGCGGATCCAGTTTACTCACCATCATTCTGTGATCTCTCACATAACATGTGCATCCAAACACTCTTGGTGGAACAACAAAAACATTCGAGCCCAAAAGCATCTCACATGGTGTCTTCATCCCTAATACTCTTGATGGCATCCTGTTGATCAAATAAGCTGCTGTCATAACAGCCTCACTCCATAAAAATTTAGGCACATTCATTGTCAACATCAATGAGCGTGCCACTTCCAGTAGATGCCTGTTCTTACGCTCAGCCACCCCATTCTGAGAAGGGGTGTCTGGGCAGGTGGTTTGATGAAGGATTCCCTGACTAGAGATGAAAGCGGCAAACTCCTTGTTGACATACTCAGTCCCATTATCTGTTCGGAGAATCTTCACCTGCATTCCAAACTGTGTCTTCACATAGGCCGAGAAATCTTGAAAACATTTGTAAACCTCTGATTTTTGCTTCATCATGTATATCCAGGTCATACGTGAATAACAATCAATGAAAGTAACAAACCATCTAAAACCACTGATAGAGGTAGTAGGACATAGTCCCCAAACATCAGAATAGACAAGTGCGAATGGTTCACAACTTCGAAGACCAGTCATCCTATAAGTAGAACGAGTATGTTTTCCAAGTTCACAGGCATTGCAAAATAACTCTTTTCTATCCACTTTCTCTATAAGTAGAACGAGTATGTTTTCCAAGTTCACAGGCATTGCAAAATAACTCTTTTCTATCCACTTTCTTCATTAACTCAGGTTCTAATCTATTTAAACTCTCAAAAGATAAATGTCCTAACCGGCAATGTTAAAGCATCGCTTCTGCCTCTGGCCCTCCGCTAACAGCAGCAGCAATCATTGCAGTCTCCCTGTCCAAATACCAAAGACCGTCACGTCTGATGCCAGTCCCAATCCTCCTCCCCGTTTCCTTCTCCTGAAAGACACACAAATCTCGATCGAATAACACGGTGCAATTTAATTGATCAATGAGAGAGCTAACTGAGAGTAAGTTAACTGGAAACGAAGGAACATGCAATACAGATGACAAGGTAACAGATGGAGTGCAATGGACCGAGCCAGTACCCCTGATGGGTTGGGATGTCCCATCAGCAGTCTGAACTGTCTCAGGATGCATATGCTTACTCGGATAATATAATGCAAACTCACTAGATGCTCCTGTGACATGCCTAGATGCACCTGAGTCTATGATCCAATCAACATGAGCTTTAGTGGATGCAAGTGCCTGAACCTGTGTACCTTTGTTCGCATGAGCATAACCAATAAAGTTACCAAAACATGTAGTGGTAGCCAGATCCTGGGTGACTTGTCTCTTGCCCTTCGAACTCTCAGCCTGAAGCTTGAACAGACGTAGTTCCTCCAGCTCTGTTATTTCAGCTCCAGTCATCCCAGCAGTAGTCTGAGACTCATCTGTCACAGCTAGGTGAGCAACTCCTTGGCCTACACGCCCCCTGCCTCCTCGATAGCTAGTCGAGCCACCAGTCTGACCACGTTCACCCCAGTTCCTTTTCCTGGGTGGCTTAGGGCACATCTGTCTCAGATGCCCTACCTCTCCGCAGTTGAAGCAATGCCTAGTCTCCCCTCTGAATCCAGTGTTATCCGGGTTGGATATCCCTAGTGCAGACTTCTCCCCTGTAAGTCCACCTATCCCAGACTGTAGCCTGATACGGCTCTCCTCCTGTATCATGGCCGAGACTACCTTTTCCAGTGGTGGGATCTTCGTCTGGTTTAGTAGCAATGTCGTCCTCTGCTCATACGCTGGAGCCAAACCTCGGAGAAACAACATGGTCCTCTTCTGCAGAGAAGCCTCGCGCTCCTTGCACTCCGGGTCCTTGCAGCTCGCTAAGGGCCAGAAGTGATCGTGATCGAGCCACAAGCGCCCCAGCTCTGTGGCGTATTCCTGTACAGTCCTCTCTCCCTGGACTATAGCGCTGATCTCCTTCTCGATCTGGAATACCCTCAGGTTATTCAACTTCTTGATGATCTCCTCCATCGGATTTTTTTTAGTCTTCTTCATCGATCCAACTTGTATTCTTGTGGTGCGCAACGAAAAATTCCGGCAGCACTTCGACAGCACAACAAGAGGGATATATCAACGAGAATTCATGTTTCACCAAGGAAACAAGAACCAGAAGCAAGATATCTCAACAAAGTGAGATATCAGCTCTTCTCTCATCAGTTCTAGGACTGACTTGTCGAGGGAACCTAAATAAGCTATTACAAATTAAGAACCAAATAGATCTTTTAATCAAACTACTTAATCACAAACCCCATCTTTTAATCCATGGTCCCCAAAAACCCCCCCCCCCCAAAAAAAAAGGCACTAATTTCCTTTCGATCCTCGCTGGGAGCTTCAGATCTGCAATCTATCTCCTCTCTCTCTCCGTCAAAGAGCTCTCCTTTTTTTTCAGCAGCCACACCAAGCTCTTCCTCTCCAAACTCATTGCATTCGCCTCTCTCCTCTCTCTCTCGCACACTCTAATCTTCAACGGTGATCGAGATCGAAATCGAAACCCTCGATGATTGATTCTGCTCTCAGATGGGATCGTTAGAGAGCGGGATCCCGTTGAAACGAACTCCGCTGCTTCGATCGTCTCCTTCGAGCGGGAGCAACCGATCGTTCTTTCATCGGCCGTTGAAACGAACTCCGCTGCTTCGATCGTCTCCTTCGAGCGGGAGCAACCGATCGTTCTTTCATCGGCCAAGATCTCGGCTAGCTCGATTCCTTCTCTTTGAAAAAGGTCGATTACATCCAATGGACTTGCACTGCTGCGGCCTTTTCTTCGTCGTGATCCTGTTTCAAGCTTTTCTTCCTGGTTCCGTGGTGGAGAAATCTGGAGGCGAGGTTGAGGAGAGCGATGGAGCGATCTTGAAGGGGATTAGGGATTTGGATTTTGGGGAAGGTGCAGGCGTTCACGAACTGGTTCGCGATCTGGGAAATTTGCGATCTGGGAAGAGACTAGGGGAGCCTCCATGGCTCTGATACCATGTTGTATTTTGGAAAAGTTAGGGTTAGTCTTCTCTCATAGAGAGATACCCCTTTTTATATAAGAGCACTCTTACAAATAGGTCCTTACAATATTGACTAATTACTATCTAAATAACTCAACAGTATCTTTTACTCACTAGTGCCATCGGTCAAATGTTTGTATTTTTTGTTCATTGTGCAAACCTTTATATGGCAAGCAAATCAGAAACTGTAATGCATGCTAAATTGACCTGTACTTCGACATAATAAATGCATATGAATCATTGTCTTCATGTTAGATTTTGTTATATAGAGTGAGAGAAACTTCAATTTGTGGAAGCACTCAAAGTATGCCTCTTTATGATTTGTTCGCTATTTTTTTCACTTGTAGCTATTAGAGTTTTGTTTTTATTGGCAAGCCTGCATTGGTTAGCTAAAGCTAGTAGTCTAATACTGGGAATCAGCCAAGCATGACATTCTATTGTTGGGCTGATGGACCATATATTCTCTTTATTAGGGTATTTAATGTTCCTGGCTCTTTGGTCATTGCAGCCTGTAACAAGCGGCAAGGTTGATCCATCTGTCTTAGCTTCTTTGCCACCATCAATGCAGTTGGATCTTCTTGTTCAGGTAAATGTCAAATCATGGCCGTTTCTTTTCATGAGATCTCCAACTGTTTCATTATCTATTTGGACTATAACCTTTTTTATATAGATGCGGGAGAATCAGATGGCTGAAAACAGGCAGAAGTATCAAAAAATTAAGAAGGTACGGATATCAATTTATTTGTATGCATTATTTGCTATATGTATAAAGTTCCAGTCACCTCACTGAATGCTTCTTCACTATTTCCAAATGGCATTAACAGATACTGATTCTGGCTTCTTCATTCTGTACCCTATTGCTTTATACCATTTATCAATCATGTTGAAATTATGGTTGTTGATCAGGCTAGAAAACCTAACTGATGTGCTGCAGTCTGATGTTTTTCTTGTGTAATTTAAAATTACATGTGATGATCTTAGTTGTGTGAACATTCAAACTTCAATAAGATCTTCCTATTGCATTTCCAGGTACTGAACTCTCTCATATGATAATATTTTTAGGATCAAATATCATTGAAGAACTATATTAGTGCGAGCTTATAACTTTCCAGTTCCATGGAGCAGTAGTTTGGAAATTTCATGACATCCTCATTAAGTATCCACTTCTTTATTTCTGATTGCATTTAGGGTATATTTGCATTTGCAGGTAACCAAATTAAGATATCTTTTCTATGATTGTATTTGGTTGGTTGCTTAACATGTATACTCATGTAACTCACTAAATAGCTGTTAATAAAAATGTCATACTAAAATTTTGATTTAACTTTTGATCTTGCATATTGTTCTTTCTATTTTTGCTTGCAAAAACTTTTAGGACTCGTGCGTAGCTTGGACACCAAATGTCTGAACTCTCAGAAGTGTCTCGACGGTCGAACCTCTTAAGCAACTTTATGTCTTCTGTCTGTCTGTATGTGAATAATCTACTTAACTAGTTTGTGTTTTGTTTAGGAATGTGATTCTGATCTCTACTATAACAATTTATTTATCATATGATTCAGCAGACTTACTTTCTATATGTTCTCGTGATATCAGACACCCTCAAAATTTTCTGAGCTACAAATACAATCATATCTTAGAACCGTTGCCTTCCGCCGTGAGATAGATGAGGTACAAAAATCAGCTGCTGGAAGGGGACTGGGAGGAGTGCAAAGCTCAAGAATAGCTTCTGAAGCAAATAGGGAATTCATATTTTCTTCATCATTTACTGGTGATAAACAGTAAGCATTAAATTATATTTTATTTTATTCTTGGTTGATGATTGATGATGGAATTTCAGTTTTCCTCTTTGTTTTACTGTTATAATCTTTTTTAGTCTTCACAAAAGAACTGGGTGATAATCCATAATCCTATTCTTTTTTGAACCAGGATGCTATCAGCTAAATCAGTTGAAAAAAATGGAGACATGGTAAATCAATCAACAAAGAAGACAATCAATTTAGATTCAGTGAAGCACAGTTTGTTCGCTAGTCAATCTCAAACTAAATCTCCTGCTGATAAAGTTACAAGTGATTTTGGAGATGATGTTGAGACATACTGTGATGGGAGTGGTCGTATGAGAGTTAGCAGAGTTAGAGGATTGGGCATTCATATGACTCGAGACCTACAACGGAATCTGGACTTGATGAAAGAGTCTGAGCAGGATTATAGCAGGGGAGGTATGAGAACAGATCTGCAATCTGAGTGCATCAAAGAAGCTTCTAGTGCAAAAGGCAACTGTGAAACTAACAGCTGCTACAATGCTTCTGTAAGTATTGAAGGAAATAGCGAAACCACTATTAGAGAGACTGGGACATTGACACAAGAAGATAATCATTGTTCTGATGACCTATCTGCTCTTGGTAGAAAACCCCTGATAGAGATATCTTTCTCAGAAGATGATGATGGAATGAAAGATGCAGATGATAATCTGTTCCTGCAGTTAGTTTCTGGAAATTCACCGTCACAATTATGTGCAAGTATCCATTCAGATAGTAGTGAAAATGAGTCTGAATCTGAATGTATTTGGGAGGAAGGAACAGTTGGTGAGAAAAAAGAAGGCTTGCAAAATGACCAAAACAAGGAAGACAGATCGTCTTTGGCAGAAGATAAAAGTTGTGAAAAATGTGAAATGGAGTGGGAGGAAGGAGATTGTGATGTTCCTAAAGATGTTTCTAATTGTTATGCTGGACAGGAAAAAGCTGTTTCACGTGGATTTCTTGAGGAAGAAGCTGATATCCAGGAAGCAATAAGGAGAAGTCTTCAGGATACAGATATACTGAGAAGTTCATCTAAATCATCTGTTAATGCAGATTTAGAGACTAATGGACATCAAACATCAGTTGCATCCCCTGGCAATTTCACATTTGAAGAAAATAGGAAGAGCACTCAGCTTCCCCTAGAGAATCATCCTGAGAGGAGTCCAATCACAGATACTGCACCGAGTGGGAGTCAAGGCCTGGAATATCCTTGTCAAGAGAATTTGCAGCATAATGTTGTAATCAATTTCAATAAAAAAACTGCTGCACCTGGAAAAACAACTGAAGAAGTTGTTTCTTTAAAACTTCAAGACAGCAAGGAAACAATATCGCACACTGATCAAAATGAAGGAATCGAAGATCACGTGAATCATGCGGAACATTCAACAAGAACTTCTGAACAATCTGGTGTTGCACCACCCAGTTTAAGAATCCCTGGGGAGGATGGTAATGGATCTGGTATTGATTTTAAACCCACAGTCAATGCACAGGATGCTGATCCTGCCGATGCACTTGCCCAAATTTCAGAATCTAGTCAGTCCATGGGCAGAAAAGGTGAAATTACCTATTCCAGGAATGATTCGTTTATGGAGAAAAATGTCTTGAACATTGACACTATGGAAGGAGAGGAAATGGGAAATTATATGAGTAGCACTCCTTATGAAGATTTGGATAATCACAATGTTGCGTCAGAAGCTACTTTGGATGAGGAAATATGTCTTCTTAGACAAGAACGTCTAATTCTTGGAGAAGAACAGAGAAAGCTTGAGCGCAATGCAGAATCTGTTAGCAGTGAGATGTTTGCAGAATGTCAGGTGTTGCTCAGACTTCCTTCAAAATGTTCTGAAAATTATTTGATTGCAGGCAGGTTTCTTACCTGTCAAATATTGTACTAGGTGTTAGAGAATGCCTTTATTGTCTGTAGGTTCTTT